AACAACATACACAGAAATTAGAAACAAAAACAAAATTGACGTTTATTGCATTTAACCAAATAACCACCAACAGAACATTCAAGTTTTACTTTCAACTATCAATGCCAAGCCCCAATTTTTCAAACCCTAACCCCTATTGTTCTCTAAACTCCCACCTTCCCCAGAAATCCACTTCTCAAGCCATGCTTGTTATTAACCCCTATTGTTCTCTAAACTCCCACCTTCCCCAGAAATCCCTGACTTTCATCGGGCGGTCGTCTTTGTTGCTCAGAACACGTTTATTTTTTTTTAACTAAACCAATTATTGACTAACTTTCAATACCGTGTTAGTTGCCACAAAGATTAAGCTTAGATATCATCTTCAGTTACCTGGATTCGGCTGTTTTTAACTTTGACACTCGGCCGGAGTCGAGTATTACCGGATAGTCCAACACCTGGCCATGGTCGATTACCCATGCATCCCTAGTTAACACCACTGTTTTAGTTTTTTAGTTATCATGTAATAAAAAAAGAAGCAGAAGAAATTCAAACTTTTTTCTATGATATTTACAGACATTACCAGAACTTGTGATTCAGTCATTACATAGATATTGTTATAAAAGGAAACACCGTATAGTATTGTAAAGTTCTGATGTCCGATTGAGGAGATATTTAAAATAACATTTCCACGAACAATCCGAGCCATCCCTACATAGATAGTGCTGCCACCTGTCTGATAAAACAGAAGGTCCGTAAAACAAACTTTAATTCTAGCAGACATTTCCTGCCACAAACCTTTTTTTTTTTAATATTTTCTAAAATCCAACATAATTAAACAAGGTTTCTAATACAACTGTTCTTGCAAAAACTACTAAACCAACAATTAGCTTCACACTGCCCTCTATGGGAAGTAGACTAATGTTAGTATACAAGCAGTAGTTTGTCTTATTTTTTGTCACTTTTCTAACTTCTGAACTGTTTTTCATAACGTATGCTTTTAAAATAATTGTGTTTTGTTTAACTTTTACTGCTTATGTGTATAGTAACAATGCATCATTCCTTTTTCTTAAGTTTGTTTAACCTTTTCATTGATGTATCTGTCAAAAGATAGTTTTATACTCATAATTAAACAAATCAACACATCTACTTAAAAACTATAGTAAGAGCTTTACTAAACCATGTACAATGTGTCAGATACTTAATAGAAACTAAAACCAAATCAACTAGGTTCTTTATATGCATCTTTAATGTCAAAGCTTACCACTTGGTGGCACTAGTAGTAAGAGAACCAGAAACTGAACTTCTTCTGGGAAGTGTGTTATCTAAAAGAAATAAGCAGATCGATCAACAGAAATAACTTGAGACGTCACTGGTTAATCTTCGTATTTAAAGAAATATTTTTAAAAATAACCCTTAATTTTCATATCTATGTTTATTTTTTATTAAGTGCAGACATTTATCTAAAAATATATTTTTTGAACATGCCAGAAACTGATCTTAACAAAATGTAATAGATCAATTTTATAAAAGAAAACCTGCTATTAAAATATCTATGACATCAGAAATGTTTGTTTAACACTCTACAGCTTAACACAGATCTAGTTAACTAATACTTTGGTCTATTCTAATGCTGACAAAACAACAGACTGTAATAACACATTGAATATAACGACAGATCAGCAAGTTGTAATTTGTTGACCTGTGATAAATGTACATAGTTAGGAGATTTACAATGGAAAATTGTAACACAAGAAGCAATTTATTTATCAATTAAAGTCTATGGGGGGGTGCCCCCCACGGGACATGCAAGTATGACTATAGAAGAATATAAATTATCTAAAAGTACAGATTTTAAAAATATAAAATTTATAAAAACTACTGCACAAATATTACTAGTGTGAAGTTATGTAGTAATAAAAATCAAGTCACGATATTTATGCATGCACGTGTCCTTGAAAGGCCTTGCTACTGTTAATGTATTTTCACAGTTATGTTTCCTTTATGTAAGCTCTAAATGTAACACACGACTTCAAATGAAACCATTAAAATTTATCTTTAAGAAATAAGCTACTATTACTTAAAACAAAGGCAAAATAAAAATATAATCTTGATGTATTAACAAGATTTTACGAAACAGTTACTCGTGTGTATTTGGAAAAACATTCATGAAGTTTAGAAAAATCTTAAAACATAAATCAAATATCAGTCTGAAATGATAGTTTACTTTGTCAACCCTAAATAAGCCTTTAATCCTCTCCTGGTTTAGGTATCAAAATTTTAATTATAAATTTGTATTAATCGCAATAGAAATATGTGAATGAAAGAAAACTTTAATAATGCTCACCAGACTCTTGGGAAACAAACGGTCTTCAACCATTGTAACAAAAACAACCACAAAGTCCTGGAGAATTGAAAGAATGGTTTCCTCCTCTTCTGCCATTGCCATTAATATGCTAATTATAGTCTGGAACAATTCTGGACTTTTTGAAGTGGCCTCGGGCTAGATGGAAAGGTCAAACTGTTAAAAGTCCAAAAGTGGAAAAACAGAAATCAGGTTTTTAGATTATAAGTAAAGAATGGGTTAAACAATAGCCAACTTTTGTACATTTTTATTTGAAGGGGATGACATTTCAAGATAGCACTCTTTGTCAGATCATACAACTATACGATCGAAGAGTGTTAGCCTCAAACGACATTCTCTTCAAATAAAAATATAAAAAACTTGCCGATTGTTTAACCTATTCTTTAATTTTGATATTTTGGTCACCTATGCAGTTAACTATATATTTCTTTCAGATTATAAGTGTCACACAACTCCAATAATTAGCTTTTCAGATTATAAGTGTCACACAACTCCAATAATTAGATTTTCAGATTATAAGTGTCACACAACTCCAATAATTAGCTTTTCAAATTATAAGTGTCACACAACTCCAATAATTAGCTTTTCAAATTATAAGTGTCACACAACTCCAA